AGAGATTTATTAAGTAAATACAGTGATAGAGAGTGGGAGAAAAGGAAATAACAGAGAAAAAAGGGCTGGTGAGAGTTGTATCAACTCTCCAAATAACCCTGGCCATTCCCTCCACATCTCTACAACTGTATGTAGAAGAACAGAGGAAATTTGCAAATTTGACCACTTAATACATATGGAAAGAATTCTGCAAGAAAAGTCAAGAGAACAAAATTAATTTTTGGTTAAAGAGCATATTTCAGGGATAAAGTTTGTAACAGAGTTGTAATATCAGCCTTTCCTTTTGTTCCAAAATGAGGTGTAGTAAAACATTGGGATGGAGGTAATATTTCACTGGGAAAAAATCCAGGAGGCTCATATTCTACACTCAATATTGGCAGAGAAGCTTCATAAATGTATTAAAAAAAACTGATGAGCACAGTCTGCCAAACATTATCCTTGCATAAATATTGCTCATTCTACTAAGATTTTGTATGGCAGTTATGTGAATTTTAAATACATGGGATATATAGGAGTTGTTGATACACTCTTTATTTTTTTCCAGTCTAGTGAAATGCCCAAACTAACTGAACAATTAGCAGGTCCTCTCCGCCAAATGCAGGTAAATGTTTTTCAGCTCATTCTAGACATTGGTTGATCTAACACAGGGAGCTTTTGCTTAGAATAAAATCTACTACATAATTCAGATTGAAAGCTTATAAATTGGCAAGTATATTGTTTTTCTAATGAAAAAAACGCATCTGTTATTTTAGAAGCCTGAATAATTTGTCCGCTTTTCTTGCTTTGCAGTCTAATTATATAACATTCCATCAATAATAAGCTTTTGAAGTCCAATCTCTATATTAAAGTAGGAACCTTTGATATTACTTAATTGTAAATCTATCTTAGCATAATTTAAAATTGCTTTGATTTTGAATATGATTGGATAACATGGGCTGGAAGAGTTTACCGCAGGAGTCCTCTGTATTTGAAACGTTGAGAGCTCTCACAATATGGCTGTTATGGCAGGAGGGCATATCTAGTTACAAAAGGATTCATTTGGCAGAGGGAAACTGGCAAGGATACCCTCTGTTATGCCTCCCAGTGTGCTCCTTGTATTCATTTTTATTTTTTGAGAATGCCTGTGAGGTCCAGAAGTATTTTTGAAAATAAAGATAATGCTAGAAATTGGCATTTGCTTTAAAAATGCAAGTGGAGTGAGGAACATTTGCAGTCACGCTGATGCCTCAAGGAGCATCATTTCGGAATCCCAATTTTATCCTATGGTGAGCCCTGCTTTAGCGTGTGCATTCCAGTAAGCCGCATTCAGATCTTCCACTGTGAAGCAGAAGCTATTTTTAAAGTAATTATTTTCAAATAATTATTTAGAACATAAAAGAAAGCCATAAGGCATGAATTTCATCTCCCCTTCCAGAATAGAAACTAAACATTGACTGGTATGCATGCTTAAGAACAATTATTTTTGTTTGGTTTGTTGATTTAAATAAATAAAAGGGTTTTTCTTTTTTAAGGAATGCGCAAAAAGAATTGCTAAAGTTTCAGCAGAAGCTAAATTGGAAGTTGATGAGGAAAACTACCTCAATTCATTTAGACCAAACCTAATGGATGTGGTATACACATGGGCCAATGGAGCTACGTTTGCTCATATATGTAAAATGACAGATGTCTTTGAAGGTATGTGTGTGTACTTTGTTGCTGGAGTTAAAATTAAAGAAACAAATGCCTTTGGAAGCAGCTGTGGCTCTACTGTGTCTTTTCCACATTGGTAGTTATGCATAAGAAAGTAAAAGTTCCCAACAAAGGATAAGAGAACATGGTGCTGTGCCCTTCTAGTGAATGATTAGTTATTCTGCTTACTTGCCCCAGTTCCTTCAGGAGGGAGAGCTCAGCTTTCACAAACACTGAAAAAAACACCAAATTAGTTTCTCTTTCCCCAGTCCCAATACAAATTGTCATGGGTCCTTACTTTTTTTTTTTTTTAAAAAAGGTGTATTTATCAAATTTGCACCCAGCAAACCAACCTATAGTTTTCAAGTATGGGAAGAGAGTGAATAACAGAGGAAGCAAATAGAATGACTGGGATGAAAACCTTTCAGCATTTCCATTGAAATTTCTGTTTGAGGGTTCCAAATCAGAGTTGTGAGAAATGTGTGATAACTCTGTTCCATGTGCGTGGAATCTTCCATTGTCCTCTCCCTATTGCCTCTTGAGTGTATTGCATCCCTCATTCAACATTATTTTAGAAGTTTTTAGACCAGACTTATGTGTATGTACTGCAAAGTAAGTACACATTAGTAATATTTTCTTTTAAATCTTTGTTTTTTTAATTTTGTTAATTGGCTTTGAGTGCTCATTGGAACTGGCCATTTGGCTTTTAAAACCTTGTGAGATTTATACAAGAGGAAAAACAAGGCGTACTTTCCTCCACCCCCCCCTTCCCCCGCCCTAGCTATCCATGCAAAAATTTTAATTATTTTTTGGTTTTGCGAAAAGTTGCCTTTAAAACAGTTGAGGCCGAGAGGAGGTGAA